CACTCTTTCACTCTCAAAAGTGCCCCAGGCTGGATGATAAATTAATTTAAAATGTTAATAGATACTGCCAGATTACATTCCAGGAAGGTTTTGGTACACCCTCATCATGCTGATCATAAAACTTCTTAGTCTTTTCTAAATATTTTTAATTTTTCTTTAATTATGAGTGATCATTAAGACTTCCACCCAGAGAGAGTAGTTATTTTCTTCAATATAGAAAGACTTATGTGGACATTTTTATTAAAATCAAGCCTGCTAAAGTTGTTTAAGAAATGAAATTACTGTACTAGCTAGAACTTGACTATTCCACTGAAAGATAAAATTGAGTATTACTAAGATGCAAGATCCCACTCAGACATTTTTGCTTGTTTGTTTAATATCAAATTGACTTTGCTTTAAGGTGGTCCCATGATGTAAACTCCAAAGATACTGTAATAGTGAGGTTATATATAATTTGTACTCTAAAATAATGCTATGAGCACATCAGAGAAGTATTACCATTTTTTTCTTCTTTTTTATGGAAATGGTTATATTCATTGTATAAATGAGCTAGTTTTAATTTTAGCATTCACAAGCTCCACAAGTATATATCTTTATGGTAACTAATAAGTTCTTGTATAGTCATTGGTGTCCTAGCTTCCTGTCAGTGACTATCCACAGAGGACTAATATTAGAAACATCTAGTTATCTTAATCAGTGAGCAGACAGCAGATACTAGGCATTAATTTTGTGTCAGTTTAACCTTACTCTGTTTTCCTGTTTGCAGATGAAGTTGGAGGTGGTTCCTGTATTTTACTGGTCTTGCTGTGCATAGCGACGGTTTTCCTTAGTGTGGGAGGAACTGCATTATACTGCACTTTTGGTGACACAGAGTCACCTGTTTGTACAGACTTTGCAGACAACATGGATTTCTATTACACTAAGTTACTGCAGGGAATGGCAGGACTTAAACACTGGATCTACCTCTCCTAGCAGCATTCAAAAGGGACAGGCATGCTGGCCGTGAGAATCAAAGAGTGAAACTTTCTAAATAGCTTTTATTTCAAGAGTTCTGTAACATGCGCCTCCCTTCCCCAGTGAGGAACCACAAACATCAGAAACAGCAGCTTTAACTGGCAAAACAGAGGAACTCAGAATAATCCACATAATGACACAGATATTGATCTGAGCACTGTGGATGGAAGGAATGGTCTTTGGAGAGCATGTCCACCTCCTCCTCGCTGCTTCCTAGTGTAATGAGCTACAGAATTAAACAGGGCAGTGTTGGAGCCAAACCATTTTGGGCTACCTTGTCAGGCTAATGGCTAAGGACACTTGTGGTTTATAACCATTTGTCCAAAGACATTGCTTCCAGCCATCATGCAATAAGTTTGTGTGTAATGAAAAAGAGTTACCTTACAGTTTCAATGTCTTTTTTTAGTTCACCTTGGGAGCTATGTAATTTAGGCTTTGTGCACTCTCCAGATTTCCATTTGTGAAATGATTATGTTTGTGTGTGTGTGCTCGTGTATTTCAGACAGTTATCATAAACAAAAACCCAACGTAGAATAACAAAGATTATTCTTTCAACATGACTATAGATGTGCAGCTACAAAACTTTCAAGAAGGCTTAACTGTGGAACAGATGAACGGTACAAATCTTGGCCCTGAATTAAGAAACTGTGACAGTTAACTTCATTAACTAGCCAGAAATTAATCACAGGCCTAGAGGTAAAATTAAAGAGCTCCCTCTGAGTGTCAGGCAACTAGTTCCATCGTGGATTCAGTGCTTCCTGATACAATAAATGCTGGATTCATCTCGATTCAATAAATACTTATTGAGCACCTATTGTGTTCTAAATAAACTAATACTTTGGCAAATGAAATTAAATCATCATATATAATTCAGTATTAACAGATCATACATTCAGATGCTTGAATGTGCATTCATATCATGGGCTTGATTTAGACCTAATGTGAGGTCATTAGGCAAAAATTCAATCATATCTTAAATAGGCAAATGTCTGATTTTTATTTAAATCTGTCGATTTCCTTTTCTAAGATACAGTGGTCTAACAATTAGGAAGCCTTGCTTTGGCTTTTTATATCATTGGCAGCATTCTAAAAGAAACAAAACACATGAACATTAGTTTTCTGGAAATGACTATTATTTCATGTTTTTCTGTTAGGATCATTTGAAAGAAAAAGAGAGTTTTCTTTCTAGTTGTTACTGGCTGGTACAGTACCTCCCTTTGTGTTTCTGCTTATTTATTTAGACTTATGATTTTTAAAGGGCTTTTTATAGAAGTTGAAATTATGTCATTTAGCATGCATCTGGTTATCCCAATGCTAGATATTTAATTACTGTATACTTAGTGTTTTGATTTTCTATGATTTCAGCTCAATGTGGTTTTAGGCTTGTTTATTTTTAAATTGATGTTTTATTTTTACTTTTACTTATAATACTGTTTGACTTGTCTGTATCATGTCACCATAAACTATAATATTTTCAAGGGTTATAGATCAAAGATATTTATTTAGAAGTGTACAAGATACTGAAATCTAGATTCCTTATACTTAAGGCTGATTTTATTAGAAGATTATTTTAAGGTTCTATTATAAATTTTAAGAATTTGTATTCAAATTGTATGTAAATATGTAAAATGTTGATGGTACTATATTATGTGGTTCTGTAAAAGACATTCACAAAGTCTACTGTGAGGGGCATCCCCATCAGAGACAAACCTCTTCTGTTTTACCCTCATGATTTCTAGTTACAGAAATTTGGTGATGCTGATTTCTGCCGGTTTTATGTGAAGATAAGTCAAAGTTTCCCTCCTGTTCACCTTTTTAGGTCACTGTTGAAGTCCTAAAAACTCTATATGTCATATTTTCCTATTGGCCGCCAGGACCATTACTTCTGAAACTGAAGGTTTCCTGGGAACCTTCACACTGAGGTGAAAGAACTGAGATAATACTTTGGTACTCTGTGGAGTCCAGTTGAGTCTCAGAAGAACCACGTGTGTCCTCACTACTTCCCAGGGAGGGTGAGGTGAGCTCAGGAGCATATTGATGTCTTGATTTAAAATAGGCGTGAAATCTCAACTAGAAAAATTAGGGCAACTTTTAAAAATGTAATTGTCATTTATTGCATGAATTAGAGTAATTCTATCTGGTGATGAGAGAAATTGTTATCTCACATAAAAAAATCATCCAGTTTTACTATAATGTAATTTTTTCTGTCACTTGAAAGCACTGACAACTATTTGTAACTAATCTTCCTTAAGAACTGTATTTGAGGGTAACAGATCAAGCTTGTAATTTAAAATCTATACCAAAAAAATGTCTCAGAGAGTTTATTTGAACCCCTTGGGTACTGAGAAAAAACGCTTTAAAGTGAAAGTAAAATAATTTCAGAAGTTGGTCTGGCACCACGAGTAGATTACTTTGGGTAGTCTAATAGCTCCCTACGTAAACGCTCCTGTGCTTCTCAAACACTTCCCCATCTGCCTGAAACAGCAACCGAAATTCACTCTAAAAATTCATTCCTTTAGATTTAAAGAGCAAATCCCTCTGGGAGGTTTACTATATTGAGCTGTGAATTATGCTAAGAGGATTTAAAATTTGAAGGTAAGCCTTATTTTGAAAGGACAGATGTGAATTGGATCTTGCTGGAATGGCAGGGTGGAGAAAACGGTCGGAATTGAGAAATAAAAGAGGGAAGGCGGGAGGACAAAGAAATCTTTTACCTATTACCTGTTTTGCTGAAGCTGACTTTGTGACATTTAATCCCAACCCAGACAGAGACTGAATATTTGTGTTCCCACTAACGTGACCTGTATAACTCTGTTCATTTCTATGGGCTTAGTTAATATTAACCCACCCTTGTATACTTAATTATGAAGTGTATATAGTGTTTTCACATGGATTCATTTGCTGCTTACTTAGATCAGTAAACACACATCCCTTAAATCAGGTCTTGTGACTCCCGAAGCCATTATACTTTCTCTTCTATCATGTTTCCTCCATCCTCAAAAAGAATAAGAGTGATCTAGGGTTTATGGCACAAGTTCTAGTGCCATCTGCTATTTTAATAACCTCAAAGATAAACATTTGGTGAGCATTATGTACTAAGGAATTTTCTTTAAGGAATTCTAGTAGCTTTTAAATTTCTCTTGGTGTAGTTTACTGGGCATCTCTTCTTCCTAGTCCTGAGAAAAGTCCTGAAATCAACCTCTTGTCTCTTGCCCCGAGAACAGTGCAGAACCATGAGCAACAGTGTTTATTACTCTCTGTACCTTGACAGACATTGGAATGTCTGCAGTGTGCCAAACACTGAGCTGGGTGCTGGGGCTCTCGAAACAAGAAATGGTACCAGCTTAAAGAAGTTAGTGTCTGGTAAGGTAAATATATTTGTGAAAGGGGAAAAAAAAAAAAATGGAGAAATATAGGATACTGCTACTCATGGGGATAGAAACTTGAGCTCATTCCTCCCTACCATGTGTCTTGCTTTATTAGGAGGAAAAGTAAAATTCTCTCTAGGCCACCTGCATAGCAACTTGATAGACAGGAATCTTTTCTCCCAGCCAAAATTCTAGTGAGTATTACTTTTTGCCTCTAGTTAGCATTTGTGGCATTAATAGCGGGTGGGCTTTCCAGGAGTAGAAAACTGCTTGGCTAGAGTCTTCTTCAAAATTGAAAGTCTGAATAGCACTAAATAGCACAATTGAAAACTTTCTCACAGAACTGCAGGTCCAGATGCTTCTCCAGTAAATTCTAGCAATCATTTCAGTAAGACATAATACCCATCCAACAAAACACTCTTCAAAAAGGAGAAAATACTTGCTAATTCATTTTATGAAAACAATATTGATCCATAGACCTGACATAATCCCTATCAGAATTGCAGCAATTTTTACAAGTTGACAGGCTGATTTTAAAATGTTTGGAGATGCATGTGCCCTAGAAGACAGTCAGTGAACTTGTTAGAACAAAACCGGAGGACTTGTACTTCCAGATTTCAGAGCCAAATGCTGCAATAATCAAACCATGGTATGGCAAAAGGAAATCCACGCGTATGTGTTCAATGATCTACAAAGGTGCCAAGGCAATTCAAAGGGGGAAAGGAAGTCTTCAACAGATAATTGCTGGAACAACTGTATATCCCACTGGGGAATATAATTAACTTAGACTTTTGCCTCACACAACACAAAACTTAACTTGAAATAAATAGATCTAAGCTATAAAACTTCTAAAACAAAACAGGAGAAAATCCTTGCAACCTTTGAGTAAGCAAAGATTTCTTAGAACACAAAATACATAAACCATAAAAAAAAAAAGGATTAGCTGGACTTTTAAAGCACATGCTCTTTGAACATGGTTAGGAAAATGAAAAAGCAAGCTGAAGATTGGGGGAAAATTCACAATACGTTTATCTAGTAAAGGCCTTGTATTCAAAATATGTAAAGATCTCATGCAACTCAATATTATGACAACCATTTAAAAACTTTGAACACCCCTTTCAAAAATATATATATACAAATGGCTAATGAGCACATGAAAAGATGCTGAATATCATTAGTCATCAAGATGCAAATTAGAACTGAGATACCACCACACACCTGGTAGAATAAAGTTTAAAAGACTGACACAACCCCAAGAATGAAAGGGTGGTTCAGCCTACGAAAGTCAATGTAATACCTCACATTAATAGAATAAGGGGGAGAAAACTGTATGATTGTTCCAACTGCTGCAGAAAAAATTTTGACAAAATCCAACATTCTTTAATGATAAAAAAAAATCTCAATAAACTAGAGGGGAACTTCCTCAACACGATAAAGGGCATTGGTGAAAAACCCACAGCTAATAATATATATCTCCCAAAGAATCCAGAGCTAATAAATAAAATCAGCAAAGTTGCAGCATTACAAGATCAACCCATGAAAATCAGTTGTTTCTCTATACCAGCAATTAACATTACAGAAAGGAAATTAAGACAGCAATTTCATTTGCAACAGAATCTGATAGAATAAAATACCTAGGAATAAACTTAACCAAGAGGAGAAGACTTGTACACTGAAAACTACAAATCATTGATTAAAAAATTAAAGAATATCTAAATAAATGGAAAGGTATCTTGTGTTTATGGATGGGGAGGCAATATTGTTAAGATGTCAATAATACCTAAAGTGATCTACAGATTTAATGCAATCCCTATCAAAAT